ATTATAATGTGCTGGAAATTAAAAAGGAATATTGATTTTTAAGCTTAAAAACATATATATTTTTTTCAAATAACATGCCCACACATATAATGCACATTATATATCACATTAATAAAATAACACAAAAAGGGCTGTGCAGTTAACAAAAAAAAAATGTTTAACTTGTAAAATTGTGGTAATCTTCATGAATAAAAATAAAGTAGCCACTAGCATTAAATATATTTTCTAAGATGGTACACAATCATTTACAGATTAATACTTTGCATTTAAGATACTACCATTTTATAAATTTATTAAGATAAAATAAACTTGTATCTCCAACTTATGTGGCTCTTACTATTTTCATCATATGTAGTATTTGAAACTGAAGGTGAGGAACACACAAGCATAGCTCTCACAATCATCTTTCCCCACAGTTGTTTGCATATCCATTTTGGGTACTTGGGTTAACAGGTTTATAAAAAAGATTGCAGTTGGTAGTGGTTCTTCTGGTCTCAGGATCCTGGAGACTGATGTTCACGTGGTCCATTACTTTCTTGGACTAATTGTTTACATGTGACTTTGATTTTTATCACCCTTCTTTTCTCCAGATCGGGAAAGATTAATAGCTGAACCTTAGTTGATAGCTCACAAGGCTTAAAGACCCCAGTTGCTACTCACCAAAGCAGGATGTAGAACATTGTCTTTGTGAACTATGCTATGCCAATCGACTTTGATGACCCTCCGACGATGGTCCTGAGCATCCAGGATAAGTGACTCATTCCCTAAAGGTGTTGGGTTATGGCTAAAAAGTTTTCATGAATTTGCCCTGTTTGCTCCAGCACATTCATGGCTATATTTGCAGCAAATGTAGCTGTTGTTGTTGTTGTGTGCCATCGAATTGCTTCTGACTCATAGCAACCCAGTATAGGATTTCTGAGAGAAGCTGGTGAGTTTGAACTGCCAACTTTGCAGTTACCAGTTCAGTGCTTATCATATAGTGCACTCATATACAAATATCCTCTGACAAACCTATATACATTCGTGGGTATCCTTCCTCTTCTCCTCCCACCCATGTTCATCCTGTGTGTCTATTCATGCTTCTACTCGAAGATCACTGATTGCAGGATTGTGTATCTAACAGTATTTGCTACCTCTGTTGATTTTAATTGTTTCACGTCTTCCCCTGCCCCCCCCCCTTTTTTTTCGTTTGCCAATCTCCCTCTTATTATTTCCCCTGGAAAGAGTAGGAGAAAAATGTATAGCAAAACTCAAATCATAAAAAAAGGACAGAAAAAAGACCAGGCTTAGTGGCTGACTAGAGACTGGTGGAACCCCTAAGACTGTGGCCCTTAGTCACCTTTCAGATGTGAAACTCTGGTTCAATTTTCATCCACACAAAAGGTTTCTAAGGGGAATGCAAACACTAGTGAGGCACACACCCCTGAGAATTATCAACCACTTGAGATCAAAAGGGCAGCATTTACTCAGAAACAAAGCTTAGAATAATTAGGAAAGGAGGGGACTGGATAAGAAAACACAGGGAGGAAGGAGGGTATGTGCTGTTTCAGTGGGAGGATTGCAATGAGCCAGATGAAACAAAAAATGTTGGACTGCTAAGTGTAAATCTGATCATCTGTTCTAAAACCTCACCCAATTCACAATAAAAAGTTTGTTTATTTAAATTACACTACGCTGCTCTATGGGAGAAAGATGAGGCGTTCTGCTCCCGTAAAGATTAACAGCCTCAGAAACCCTGTGCAGGGTCGCTATGAGTCGGAACCGACTCCACGGCACATAACAACAACAACAACAACATGTATATAAAAGTGCTCTGGTAGCCTAGTGGTTACGAATTGAGCTGCTAACCTCAGGGTCAGCAATTCGAAACTACCAGCTGTTCCGTGGGAGAAAGATAAGGCTTTCTGCTCCCGTAAAGATTTACAGCCTCAGAAACCCTGTACAGGGTCGCTATGAGTCAGAACAGACTCCATGGCATATAACCACCATCACCACATGTATATAAATGTATATATATACACACACCAGAAGTCCTAGTGTGGCGTGGTGGGCTAATGCATCAGACTGACTGCAAAGTTGTTTGAACTGCAAGGTCGGTGGTTCAAGTTCACCAGCTGCTCCTTGGAAACTCTATACAGGGTTGCTGTGGGTCGGAGTCAACTCAAAGGCACTTACAACAACAACAACATGTATAAGCAAACCAGAAATTTTTATTTAGAAGTTTTTTTATGAAGACTGAAAAAAGGATATAGGATAAGTATGAGATAACAGCTATCTCTTAGGAAACCATTTTATAGTTCAAAATCTTTTATAGAATCTTATTAAAGAGGAGGCAACATTAATGTAACACGTGACAGAAGAAAATAACTCTCAATAAGAATTTGGTGTAGTAATTCTAGACCTCAGATGAGTATGCTTTCTTACTACAGATTTAAATCTTCAAAGCACAAACAGTTAATACAAGTAAACCAATTATAAATAAGTGCTAGATGATCCTTTACTTTTTATGCTCTAAAAACTGAAAAGAGTAATGCACTTGTGATTCCTTCATATGCCCCTTAAACCATACTAACTTCAAAGTACCTCAACTTATGTCAAAAATGTCACCTTTTCCAACTTTTATTCTATTTGTATTCATCATATATATATAATTAACTATAGCAAAAGAATTGTAAATTCTGTTTTTAAAAAATGAATATTGTTGCTCCTCCCAATTTTTATTTCAAGTTTAATCCATATCAGTAATACTTACATGACTTTCTGTTTCAAAGCAGTAAAAACTAAGAGTGTTAAATTTGTGTCTAGAATAAAAGTACAGTTGTATATATGAAACTACTATGTGTTCTATCTTGACATATGGCAGCAAAGATCATACAAAATTTACTCAGAGACTAATGCCATTATGAACACGAAAGGACTCATATATGTTCCTTAACAAGTTAAAAGTTAAATAATAAAAAAAAAGTACTAAATCACCATTAGGTAGCTGTCCAAATGCCAAATTTAAATTAAACATTATCTTATGTCTCCTTAACGATAAGCTGTTATACATACCACACATTAAAAGCTCAGTAAGTTAAAAAACAAAATAAAATTTTGGTTGATTATAGCTATAGTTTACATATAAAGCAGAACACTAAACAATATAAAATTTGATTCACCAGTACAGAGCATTAAATAACATCTCATAGCAAGTTGTGTTCACGTGACATTTTAACCCCATAGGTCCCACCCTTCACATTGCCCGATCCTAAACAAAATCTATTAATACAAACTAAGACCAAAAAAACTGAGTTGATGTTTTGTAAAATGCAGACTGACTTGTTATCAAGTGTGCTAAGAAATACAGTAAGTTCAGCATACACGCTACAACACAGAGCTTGGGTTAATACTGGAAAATAGAGGGGAGAAAATCTTAACTGTGGCTACAGATCAAAAATCCATGTTAAAAAAAGAAATTATTTGGCATCAATATGGAAACTTTCCAATATAGTCTCAAGGCATGCTGAAAAGGCCAGTAGCAAAAAACAGGACTGCAGGACAACTCAGCCAAAGCCATTATGAGTGATCTAACATATTTTGTTACACAACATACAAACCTACAGATTGAGAGAAAAATAATCTAATTTCAAAAGTTAATTATATTATACACTGTCTGTTATAGCCACTTCCATCAAGATTACTAGGCCTTGAAATGTGGGACTGGTACAGTGATCTTTCCAGGATTCAACCCAAGAACCAAAACAAAGCTGATATTTAAAGCAGTAACATCAACAAATGTACTATTTATTTTCTTTATCAGTCATATTTTAGTATTCTGTTTCAAGCCCTTATAAAAAGTAGCTGAAGTTTCTAAAATTTTGAGACAATGTGTTTACTTCTGATTCGAAATCTTCTCTTAATAAATACTAAATCAGAGCACAACATGTTAACAGTATAAGTTAAAACACTGTTGTGAGTAGAACTTTTACTTTGGACAGCTATGACCAGAGGGGTGTTGGAGGCCAGCCCACCCAAATACCAGACAAGCTCTTGGGGGAACAGAAGAAAAGCAGGAAGAATGGAAATGTTTAATTTTTTTAATTGACTTTTCTAGTTATTAAAAGTTGCTTGTTTCAGCATAAAAAAACAAAACAAAAAACACTGTTTTGACAAACCTCAGGATCGATCTGCTTTTTGGATTTTCAAAATGGTGGTGCTATTTTACTGATTCAACAACAAATACCTGTTTTTCCCTTGTAATAATGCAACTAATCTGGTCCTTGGATAAAATATTCACAGTCATTAGACTGTAGCTCTAAAGTCTATGTCTCTTTTTCAGAATCATTAATAGTACTTCACCTGAATATAGGAAAACATAAAGAGGAGCTTCTAGGTTGAACTTGCTAATATTCACAGTTTGAAAGAGTGGAATGGTAAACCAAATTGTAACTCAGGGCACTCTCAGAAGTAGTAAATACCTCTGGTAAATCAGGATCCCTACACAAGCTTCTCTCAAGTCTCAAATCAGTTTCACCAATGAAAAAAATTTCAAGATTTGTTTCATCATAAGAAAGTGTAACTATCACATAATCAAGTTATGAACCACACCACATAAGTTCTGAAGCAAAAAGAGACAAAGTCAGCCAAATTTTGGAGTGAAGCTTACAAAAATGAGAATTATGTAGCTAAAATATCTTAGGTCCAATGTGCAGTGATATCATCATCACCGTTCTGTCAGCAAGACAAATGAATCAATTTGTATACTGAGAAAATGTACACGCATACTACCACTTCTCTATTAAATATATATACACAATTGTTATAAATATATCCTCAAAGGAAACACTGATTTTATATTGTCTTTTTGAAAACAATTTTGCATTGAACTACAATAAATATTCACTGCTATATATGTTAAATTACTTAAAACAATATTATAGATGTTTACACAGAGAATTACAGGAATCTACAAGAGCACTTCAATAAAAATTGGATGAACAATGAAGTAACAAAAGGTTTTATAACCAAGCTGTACGGACATTGGAGGGCTTAGGCTTTGGCAATAGGCCACTGGATGTGTCAAAAACTGATCGTTCACTCTTACAACTGAGACCACTGGTAGCACTGGATGTCCTGGAAGCACCCCCTGAAAATACAGAAATAACAAGACATAATTTGGAATAATTCAACTAAATGTATAAATCATCTGATAAAGTTCTCCTAATCTTAAATTCAGATTAGCTTTTCCTCCTTATCCATGTTCTAATGGTCTAATGAAATTATTTCAATCAGTAGCGTGCTTAAGAATTCCCTGTAGAACTAAAAAATATAATAAAAAGCATACAGGTTTGATTCAATAGATTTGAAGTAGGAATAAATGCTCTTGAAGGATTCTTGCGATTCAAGTACAAAAATCAAACCAACTCTACTTTGTATAATCATTTATACATTCATTCACAAATCAGTTATTATATTCAAGGCACAGTACTAAATACGGGTTACTAGAATCAGCTACTATAACATGGAAGTGATGTCTACAGACTAAATGAATGGAATTACTAGTTATTTCAGTGTTTAAAACTCACATAAGCAGTACAGTTGTAGCATTATAAATTGTCAACTTTGTCTTAGTTGAATAGGCTTCTATTGTTTACATTCTCAAGCAAACATGAAATAATAGTGTAGGCTCCAATATAGGAAAATGACAGGTCTTTCTGCTTATCACATACCCTAGCACTAAGTGGTCTCTCTATTCCTGCATTCTTTGGAGAGGATGGTTTTATGTGCAACTGATCACTTATCAATCAAGTATTAAGAGGTATTACTTCTGATGACTCTACAGATTCCTAATTTTTATTTTTCAGCGAGGAAGAAAAAGCACATATGAGGGTTTTTATACGTGCAGATATTAAGTAATAATTCTTAACTGGCTAAGAAAAATGCTTCAGAAGTTTATGGCTTATCTATTTCTTCCTTTAATAAATGCAGTGAAATTTAAAGTTTCTCTATTATCTGCAAAACTGCTGATATTTCCAATTATTTTATTTACTGATATCCTTCCTACACTGCCATTGAGAGTTGTAAACAATATCTCAAATTAAGTGAAATAATATAAATAAGTCATGCCACCCAAAAAATTATAGAATGCAGGACAACAAACAAGATGGCGGATAGGGCAGAAGTGCAATGAGGAGCTCCGTCAGCAACAACACAGAATATCAGACCAAGCAGGCTCAGGGGATGGTGCCAGAACTCTGAACCACATATAAAGGAAAATTTAGAAGGTTGGAAGG